ATATTTTACTAACAAGAGGACCATGTGGAGGATAAGCTTTGCTTAACAGGTTTTATCCTCAGAAATAAAGCTGTTTATTATATCCCTGTCTGACTCCCAATATAAAAACATTATTTTTGCACATTTTATTCTTGTAACCTTGACCAAAGGTAAAGGTCACCGATGTTTACCATTCTTATAAACTTTTTGATTATCTACCTTGTTGCCAAATATCAAGACCCATGGACTTTTTGGTATGAAGAAAGACAAATTAAAGGAAAAGTGGAAAGAAAGCTGTGTTTTCTTCTTTTAATCAAATGTGTTATATGACAAAATTACCGGTTGTCAATTTTTTGGCATTCCTGAAAAATAGACCAGTTGGTTGTAGAACGTGTCGAAAAGGTAATGAAATTTCACATACTTTACTGCTTACATCTTTAATAAAAAGAACAATTCTTTCTTGAAATAGTGTATAATATTCGGTATTATAGTTGGAATATGTTGCACACGATGATGATATAATTTTATGGTAATTGTGTCATTTAAATGCACCTTTAACACCCACATAGGTTTAGGTCAATGCGATCCCTTTTGTCATCAAATGAATTCTGAAACTAACTGTTCCTGATTGAAGCTTTTCATTCCCATACCTTTTTGTTTTTATCTTGTTTTGAAATTACAAGCGGGAGAGGACGCTAATGTTAAATCTCCATAGGCGTTGACCCTACCTTTACTAAACCTGTTAACCATCCCCTGTAAAGATAACACTGTTACAACAGTAATCACCTCTATACTGGAATGTGTACAGGATTGAGAACACATATCTAACGTAATCTACATGCATATAACCAGCAGCCTACCACACACATTGTTGGGTCTATATGTATCTGGTCACGTATTCACTCCGTCAGGTCACAGCTACTTCACGCATGGTTTAAAGAAATGACCCATATACTATATATTTCAGATTATAGTATTTTTAGCCAAGTGTTATTTAGTACCTAAGGTATATAGCTCTTATCACTCCGTTTGTGGTATTTACAACTACATGTGTATTGCTACATGGCTGTACAGACGTTTCGCCCCAAAACCGTTACGCCCAAGACCATTTCGCCCCAACTTTTTACGCATCGCCACAATTTTTAGTTCATTTCACCCCAAATATGGCAACCATATCGCCCTATATATTATATAATTGGGGAGGGGGGGTCCGTGTCTCACGGTATGACTGTAATAAATGAATGTAAAGTAGTGCAACACGATCACACAATTCCATACAGGACAATGTAGACTTCGTCCCCCGGACTACATAGACCAGCCTATGTTAGTGGGACGGTGTACTGTATGTGGGAGTGAAGCCGTGAGAAACTAGGGGGGGGGGGGGGGGGAATTGTTTGATGTGGAGAGTATAGGCCAGGCTGTCTGCATCAGCAAGAGAGGAGGGTAAGCTGGTCCAGTCCGCTATGGTCCTTGGCATGTAAGAGAACTTGAAAAAGTCTTCGGATGCCTGAAGTGGACGATAGCGGTGGTCATGGAATAACGTTACCCCCAGATACTTGCTAACTGGGACTACCTGTAGTGACCAGAGTGAGTAGTCGAAGGAGATGGGATTACGTGTTTTAGATGTCCTGATGACAAAGCATTTATCAGCATTAAAATGCATTCGCCAGTCAGATTCCCATCTCTGGAGGTTTATAAGATCTTGTTGCATCTGGATAATGGCTGGACATTACACTCGTTTCACATAAAACAAACACCCATCGTAATCTTGTGCACGACATTGATAACAATGCCATAAAAATAGCAACAACATCACGTTTTTACACGAATTCCATTCGATATATCGAAACTTGCATTGTACGAGTTACCTTCCTTCGAACAATTTTGATGATAAGCCATTTTCGGTCGCACGCACGTAAATGTATTTCTGTAGAACAAACTTATGAGGATCACCAAAGCACAGCTCTAAACTCTTTCGGGTTTTTTTCTGAAAAGAAATTGCCTTGATGCAATATATTTGTTATATATATTGTAGTCAGCTATTGACCTCTAAAAAAGCAGTGAATCGAATAGAGTAGATTTTGTACAAGACTTTGCTGTTCACAACTCTTTAAGCTAGGCTCATGGTCATATCTGTCACAACAAAGTGGACACCGTACGTACCTGTAGGTATGTCTGAAAGAAGGTTATGTAGATATCTTCTTTGGACTTCGTAGACTGTCTCATCTGGTTGAAATGACCATTTTTGGACTACGTGCGTTGCATCTACTACACATGCAGTGTCTTTTGGGTCTGTTGACAGTCCAAAACTCAAAGTTCATAAGGACAAGACAAAATTAACATTTACAAAACAAAAACATAACTGACAGGACAGCATAAATGCCGGTGGTCGGTCTGAATTAGTAAGCTGACCTCAATACAACCTTGATATGACCTTCACAATTAAGGTAAAGTTAGGATAATTATATATCACAAGTTATAACCCAGATAGCACACCGCCGATGGGCCAACGTTGGCCCAACGCAGGCATACAACATTGGCCCAACAGCTTTTTGTCCGTTGCCCCAACGTAGGGCCACTGGTGGCAGAAAATTCTGTTGGCCCAACGTTGGTCCATTGTCTGAAAATATTGTTGGCCCAACGTTGGGCCGACGTCTGATATTACTAAAATTGTACTCATGTAACAACGCTCGAACACCCCGCCCGGGATATTTTACCTTTCTGTCTGTCAGAGTTTAGCGATTTCGTTTTGTATTTCAACCAAACAAGAGTTACTTTCCCTGTAAATATGCAAATCGGGATCTGGAATTATCCAATCACGATTTTCCTCACTCTACATGCCATTATGTCACATGGGCAGAGGGTGCGAACAGGACATGGGGCTAAACAACAGAATTCGAATTGAAGTGATTTAATAACGGGTTGTCAAGTAAAATAGAATGTAGATTTTATTTTATATTCAACTGTTTCATTTACACGTTTTCACCCTTCTCGTCGATAATTGCAGATACATCAGTAACTTACTTTTGTCAAGACACTGCAACACGTACCCGCTTCCAATTTTTTCCCGCTAAGCTACATTAAGAACGAGGCTATACCGGTATCCGTTAGACTATGGTTGGATGATCAGTTAATTTTCGACCGTGGGCCAACGGCGAAATGCGACCGTTGGCAATGCAGCTTAACTCCGCCGTTGGGCCAACGTCGATATACGATCGTCGCATCGCGCCGTTGGCCCGACAATGTCTTGCTATCTGGGAAGTGATGTATATGTTATATACTATCTAGAAATGTTTTTAAGTATTCCTATGCCTCCATTTTTTTCAAGGAATGGGTTTGTATTAGGAACAATATTTTTAAGTTAATAATATAAGACACAAATTAGCTTCTCATGTTTGATGTTTGATTTTTGAATTTTGAACTTTGACCTTGATATGACCTTGGCAGTAGCGTCAAACAAAAATGTAAAACTTTAGAAAGTATGACCAATGCATCCATTAATTAGAAGAATGACTATAATATAAGTTACACCCATTTCTGCACCCCTACCCCCAGAATCTGTAATTCCATTTTATATAACAATATACATAACAAAGTGGCTACCATTTTTTTCCTCACTGAATTACAAGGAAATAGGTCTCCAAGTATTGATATGTTACCCATGGCATAAACAAAACAAGTTAATTGATCAAATTCTGTATTTTTGTTGAATGGACAATAAACAATAAAGACTGATTTGGAAAAAAACGATACTTTTTGCTGTTATTTGACCTTTGACCTTGATTTGACCTTTATAATAGAGGTCAAACTGTAAACTGTATGTATATACCATCTAATTATTGATATGGTGATGATGAGAAATGATACAGTACTTTCTGTACCCCTACCCCTTTTTTTCCAAAATATCATTTGTTTTGCCGGGGTAGGTTAATTGTATATGACCCCACACTAAAAAAAACAGTGGATTTCCCAGAGGGTTGGCCAGCTGAAATATGCTCTAGAAGGTCCATACTTATGAAAAATGAGGTCACCCTTTGACAGCAGGGGGTGTTCACTTAACCCCCCTGGCCCCTGTGGTATAAATGACCAAGCGTGGTCTTCATGCAGCTTTATTCTGAAATGTGACACACTGTTTGATGTGATTATTATTTTTTAATCAATCTGCTATTTCAGTGCATGCACATATACGTTCTTGTTTATTATTTTTTCACATTATTCTATTAATTCGACCACGGACTAATTCCGTGATTTACAATGTAACTTTTTTAGTTTAAATCAATTTTATTGCAACAAAAGACAAATAGATTGGACAAAAGTTATTGCAACTTACTTACGTCCTTTCCGTAACAGAAACTATATATACAAAATCAATGTGTCACGTAATAACCTAATACAAATTTATATATGTATATATATATATAAGATGTTAAAGATGGGTTACAGCAAAAGAGGTAATGATAGGATTAGGGACACCAACGTATAGTTTTTAAATATGTATTCGGAGAGTTTACTTGAGATCGCGTGTGTGATTTTCCCAATCGAGTCGGCGTAAGTAGTATAACTAATCTATACACACATATCCTTCTGCATTTCTAAAGCTCAATCACATTCCGTGCCGCATTTGCCTTTCTCCTGTGTCACTCCAAGTCCTTCTGTGAATTCCCCTGTGGTATAAATGACCGAGCGTGGTCTTCATGCAGCTTTATTCTGAAATGTGACACACTGTTTGATGTGATTATTATTTTTTAATCAATCTGCTATTTCAGTGCATGCACATATACGTTCTTGTTTATTATTTTTTCACATTATTCTATTAGTTCGACGACGGACTAATTCCGTGATTTACAATGTTTACAATAAATATTGCCGAAAATTAGCGAACCCATCGTAAGACACTGACTAATCTGATTCCGTGGCAAGACAGAGTGACCCGATAACAATATGAAACAGGTTATAACGACATATCTGAAATAGACTATACAAAAGGACTATACAAAAGTCACATGACTGATCACATGAGACGGTAGGAGTACCGTCGTACACAAACAAAGTGGAAATGGTGGTTGCATATGTCAGATAGTCAGCAGCTGATGCACGTGGTGACGCTGATATAAACTTTAGCTTATCAGTACCTCGTGGACGGCTGTCAGCTGACCTGACAATGGGTCTTCATGTGTGAGATATGCATGTTCTATTAGACACCCTACCCACTATAGGTAAGATATTGATGTAATATAGGTATATACTATAGCTGAGACCAGCATACGCTACAGACTGTACCTATATACTACAGAAAAGGAGGACAATTTCTTTCATTTGTAATAATATTTCTTAGTCGATGGTATGTATTTAAACAATTGCTGTATTCGACACAGTTATAACATATTGATAAAGACTGTAAAAGGAACCTTATATATCTAATGTTCATTCATTTATATTTTTCTAAAACTCAAATATGTCAATTTAAAGCTGTTTTAAAAGGACACATATCAGAGAGAAAAAAATATAGAAGTTTAAAGATAAGATTAATTACAAGGAAGTTGTAACAAAATTAAAGGCTATATATATGCCACCTTGCTGATGATACAAATTAACTTATAGGCAAGTCTGATCAATTGAGTTTACATCGAAAGAATCATGCTGCAGCATAACAGTAAAATTGACTGGTTTTAAAGTCGGTTGTCACTCCTCTGTAATCTTTAAATGACAAGTATCAACCAAGGGATCATCCTTTTTTTTTTTTATCTGAAACCAATCTAATAGCTGACTTTGTACAGCATATAGTTTGTATCATGACGTACATTGTCATGATTGAAACTAAATGCTGTACAGAGTCAGCTATTGTCACATACTCTAGAGGTGCAGAGAATGTAAGTTCATGAGCGCGACCCCTGGAATATTGAGGAGGTTGATTAACAGATTGGATTGGACATTGGTATAAACGTATACGTAAGGTGTAAGCATAAGCAGAACTTTCAATGACCCATCATTGGTCATTGCACATTATGCCTTCAGTTTACAGTAGCCGAGGGCTTATTGTTTTCAAATCTTAGCTATATTCTATGTATATTTCTATTTTTGTTTTTATGCAATGTAATTGTTATGCGTTTTTTCTGTGTCTCCATAAAGGAGCGGATTGCTCTGAAAATTTAACAACATTGTATTGTCTACAATGTTAGAATTCCTTCCTTGACCCATATATATATATACTACTATGTAAGCTTTTCATATTTTCTGCTCTAGTTCAAGAAGGTATGCACGTAGGTTATGATATCTATATAGCTACTATGTAACAACCTCAGTTTAATTACTAAAACAATAAATTTCCTTGACCAACCTTCATGGTTACTGCAGGTCAAATATGTTAAACCTCAAAAAACATTTTTGCCTCTAGCTACCAGGTGTGTGAAAAACTGTTTAGTTTCTTCAAACAGCTTTTTAATGTTGACAAATAGAAACAAGCGCGATCAACATGCACAGGTTACAAAAATAGTTAGATCAGTTTTTAACGTATACAATTAACAGTCCACCAATGAGAGATGATGCAGGCCTATGCTTGCTTTATAACATTATCTGTAGGTTAAATATAAAACGGCTGTACTCATTTGATCCTAATTTCTTGCACTAATTCTTTCTATTAATCATTGTTTTACAGGTGCAACTAAGAATTTCACCAGGAAAATTACTTTAGATTGTAAAACCACAAGTATGACTGAATTAATATTTAGATTATCAACAAGAGCCAATACTCTATTTAAACAGAACTTTTTATTCAGTGACTGTAGTAAAGAAAGTTTGGTATAAATAGGACAGAACACATTGGATCTGTCAATTTACACTTCATTATTATAAAGACTTCTGATTTAACATTTAATAAAATTTCAAAATGTCTGAGTCAGCGCCATTGCTGAAAAAGGCCTCCAGCCAAGCTAAAACTTTACCTGCATGCCAGCGATTCTTGTACAGTATGGGACATGTACTTAACGACCTCACAGCCTCGATGTGGTTTAGCTACTTAATCATCTACTTCCACCAGGTGAAACAATTTAACAACGTTCTAGCAGGATACTTGATGTTGATTGGTCAAGTGAGTGATGCTTTGTTTACACCATTTATTGGTTTCGAGTCGGATCGCACCCAAGGATTTCTGAAAATTGGGAAACGAAAGTCATGGCATTTGATAGGTATGTTTAACATAAATTATATGTTCTTAGAAGTCCATTTATATTATCCATACTCTGAAAACTCATCACTTGCAAGACTCTTGATCTGAAACCTCTATATATCAAATCCTGTTTTAATTAAATAGATGTATGAAATGTGTTATGATGGATTCTTTTAGGAAACAATATCAAAGTAAAAATGTTCAACTTGATAAATAATCATTTTCAGGAAAATGAGTTCTACTCACTGTACACACAAAAGTAATTGTCAGACTAACAAGTTTCCATTATCCATAAAAAAAACTGAAATTGTAGTTATATAAGAATCCATAGCTATAATGAACACATGGAAAAAAGTGTTAATGCAATTTTATTTTATAAACAAATTAGTATGTAACACTGTTTTGCAATTTGCTAAATAATGCATTATTACATGTCTGTATGCCTTAGACTGATTTTTTGCTGAGATAAAATTGTACCATCCTGATCATCTGATATATCTCTCCGGTGTTTTCCTTTGACAGGTACAATATGTGTGGCGTGCAGTTTCCCCTTCATCTTTAACGAATGTATCACCTGTGGCCATGCCCAAGATGGCTACCAGTTTATCTACTATGCTCCATTTGTGATCATTTTTCAGTTCGGTTGGGCGTCGACCCAGATCTCTCACCTGTCACTCATTCCTGACCTCACCACTAAAGAGGATGAGCGGGTCGAGTTAAACGGCATGAGGTAAAAAAAAAAAAGACTAATTTAATTTGAATAGGGAAAAAATTGTTTAAACCCTTCATCTTTCATAAATAAAAAGTCAGAATCTTATTTTTACCAACAGGTGAATATGTCGAGTCTTAAATAATATATCTTTATTACAGTCGAACCCGAATTCAAAGACCACCTTCTGGAAATCTGTAAAATGGCCTCGTAATTAACACAAGTTCGAATAATATAAGATAAATTGCAATGATGAGTTTTTAAAGTGGTCTCTTAACACGGGTAGTCTCACAGGCAGTTTGACTGTATATAGTGAGTTACTGTAAATATAAATGTTCTATGTTATATATTATATTTTTGTAACACATGAAAAGATGAAATCACAATTACATGTTTGTGAAGCACAATTGCAGAATGAATTAATTTGTATTTTGTGTAACGTAACCTTTCCTATGCCAGGTATGCCTTCACTGTGTTACCATTACAGAAAGAATTAATTTGTATTTTGTGTAACGTAACCTTTCCCATGCCAGGTATGCCTTCACTGTGCTGTCCAACCTAGCGGTGTTTGGCTTGTTTGCACTCCTCTTTTACCTCAACACTGGGGACGATGTTGGTAACAGCGACATGCTGTCTCCTGCAGACAACAACAAATTTAGAGTAAGTTTATTACCGTTACAGGATCATTTCTGAATGCACTATCATGGAGTAAGGTTTACTTACTCATCTAATCTATATGTGGTAGTGTTTTAGAAAAATAGTTGCTATCATGGTTACTTATTTAATCAACATGGTCAGTGTTATAAAACATTGATTGCTCTCATTGAAGCAATAAATTGCTTACTTATTTGATCTATGTTCACAGTGTTTTAAAGGATAAATTGCTGTCATATTCATGAGACACATTATTTGGGATTAAATTTACCTGGTAACTATTATATTGGCAAAGAGCCAAAGACACGGTCTTATTAACAACACTTTATGGATGTCATAAATAGGAACATATCGTAATATATTCATGTGACTTCAGTCAAGTTAGCTACTGGTGGCCAAGCCCTCTGGCTTACACTGTAATATTGCCGTAAACACATTTATATTGGCCTGATCTAAATATTACATATGTTATTGCCAAGCAATAATACTGACTGCAAAAGAAATAATTGTGATTCACTAAAATATGAACTGTACTTAATGCAGTACCCAACGCTTTCTAGAGTAACTCTAGAAACAATGCTTTGGGGCTGTTCTCATCAATTTCGTCCAATAAGTTCCAAAGTTATTTGGAATTTCATTGAATTCTTTCCATATTTGTACTGTATAAAGGCTCATTTGCAAAGGTCATAAAGAATTTTTGAAGGCTCTAGTCTACTTCACAGGTCATGGACATGGGAAACTTTGAGTTCTATCAACAATGAATGGCTATAAAACTTTCTGCAAGTGTACATACAATGCTGAGGTTAAATGTAAAAAAAACATACCAATATCATCTAACTAATTTTAAGAAATTTTCAAAATAGTTCAAAATTCAAGATATTTGAATACATTAATACAGGCATATGTAGCATGAATGATTTACTGTATCTCTATTTTGTTTTGATTTCTAGGACCTGGTATTTATTGTGGTCAGTTTAGGCGTAGTGGTCAGTTTCCTGTTCCAAATAGGTGTGAAGGAGGGCGTGAAGACTTTCACTCATGTAGAGGCTGAGGAAGCCATGTCCAAGTCTATGAAAACATGTTCGTCAATGTCTTCTTCCGCTGGAGAGAGCGGACAGTCCATAGAAATCTCCATGATGAGGCAATCCCTCATGTCATGGAAGGACTGGCTCAAGGAATCACAGTTTTATCAAGTAAGGCAATCTGACAGCAATGATTGGATAACAGAACCATCTACAATAATCTTTTTATAGACCATTAGTATGGTTCCATTGTTCTTGACTGGTCATGCTAATAAGATTTTTTTGTAATAATTCTAACAAATTTGACCAAAACGTTACACAATGAAATTCACAATTGTTTCAATATAAATAAAAATGAATTTGAAAATGAGGTTAATTAACCAGCACATTATAAAATTGTTTCAAATTCAAATTTAATTTCAACTGGTTATAATTACTAGTGTAATCTTTGTTTTGGTTTGCAGGTTGCATTGATATACATGTGTACAAGGTTGTTTGTGAATGTATCACAAATCTATCTCCCCTTGTATGTCACAGAGACCTTACAATTGTCCAAGGTAAGTTATCTCCCCTTGTATCACAAATCTATCTCCCCTTGTATGTCACAGAGACTTTACAGTTGTCCAATGTAAGTTATCTCCCCTTGTATGTCACAGAGACTTTACAGTTATCCAAGGTAAGTTATCTTCCCTTGTTCATCACAGATACAACTATCTCCTTGATAAGTTATCTCCCCTTGTATGTCACAGTTACAAATATTTCCTTCATCTCCCCTTGTATGCCACAGAGACTTCACCAATATCAAAGGTAAGTTATCTCCCCTTGTATGTCACAGACACAAATATCTCCTTCATCTCCCCTTGTATGTCACAGAGACTTCACCAATATCAAAGGTAAGTTATCTCCCCTTGTATGTCACAGACACAAATATCTCCTTCATCTCCCCTTGTATGTCACAGAGACTTCACCAATATCAAAGGTAAGTTATCTCCCCTTGTATGTCACAGACACAAATATCTCCTTCATCTCCCCTTGTATGTCACAGAGACTTCACCAATATCAAAGGTAAGTTATCTCCCCTTGTATGTCACAGACACAAATATCTCCTTCATCTCCCCTTGTATGTCACAGAGACTTCACCAATATCAAAGGTAAGTTATCTCCCCTTGTATGTCACAGACACAAATATCTCCTTCATCTCCCCTTGTATGTCACAGAGACTTCACCAATATCAAAGGTAAGTTATCTCCCCTTGTATGTCACAGACACAAATATCTCCTTCATCTCCCCTTGTATGTCACAGAGACTTCACCAATATCAAAGGTAAGTTATCTCCCCTTGTATGTCACAGACACAAATATCTCCTTCATCTCCCCTTGTATGTCACAGAGACTTCACCAATATCAAAGGTAAGTTATCTCCCCTTGTATGTCACAGACACAAATATCTCCTTCATCTCCCCTTGTATGTCACAGAGACTTCACCAATATCAAAGGTAAGTTATCTCCCCTTGTATGTCACAGACACAAATATCTCCTTCATCTCCCCTTGTATGTCACAGAGACTTCACCAATATCAAAGGTAAGTTATCTCCCCTTGTATGTCACAGACACAAATATCTCCTTCATCTCCCCTTGTGTGTCACAGAGACTTCACCAATATCAAAGGTAAGTTATCTCCCCTTGTATGTCACAGACACAAATATCTCCTTCATCTCCCCTTGTATGTCACAGAGACTTCACCAATATCAAAGGTAAGTTATCTCCCCTTGTATGTCACAGACACAAATATCTCCTTCATCTCCCCTTGTATGTCACAGAGACTTCACCAATATCAAAGGTAAGTTATCTCCCCTTGTATGTCACAGACACAAATATCTCCTTCATCTCCCCTTGTATGTCACAGAGACTTCACCAATATCAAAGGTAAGTTATCTCCCCTTGTATGTCACAGACACAAATATCTCCTTCATCTCCCCTTGTATGTCACAGAGACTTCACCAATATCAAAGGTAAGTTATCTCCCCTTGTATGTCACAGACACAAATATCTCCTTCATCTCCCCTTGTATGTCACAGAGACTTCACCAATATCAAAGGTAAGTTATCTCCCCTTGTATGTCACAGACACAAATATCTCCTTCATCTCCCCTTGTATGTCACAGAGACTTCACCAATATCAAAGGTAAGTTATCTCCCCTTGTATGTCACAGACACAAATATCTCCTTCATCTCCCCTTGTATGTCACAGAGACTTCACCAATATCAAAGGTAAGTTATCTCCCCTTGTATGTCACAGACACAAATATCTCCTTCATCTCCCCTTGTATGTCACAGAGACTTCACCAATATCAAAGGTAAGTTATCTCCCCTTGTATGTCACAGACACAAATATCTCCTTCATCTCCCCTTGTATGTCACAGAGACTTCACCAATATCAAAGGTAAGTTATCTCCCCTTGTATGTCACAGACACAAATATCTCCTTCATCTCCCCTTGTATGTCACAGAGACTTCACCAATATCAAAGGTAAGTTATCTCCCCTTGTATGTCACAGTTACAAATATTTCCTTCATCTCCCCTTGTATGCCACAGAGACTTCACCAATATCAAAGGTAAGTTATCTCCCCTTGTATGTCACAGACACAGATATCTCCTTCATCTCCTATTGTATGTCACAGAGTTTTATAAATGTCGTGTCGTGGGTAAGTTTAAAGTATTTGAATTGTGTATATTACATTCAATGTATACAAAATTTAATCTCATACGATTTGTCACACCAATTTAAGTTGTCAGTTACTATTCAATGTTTGTTATAGAAACAATTTAGAAACAATAAATTATGTAGCTTAATCAAAAATGGAAATATTATATTGTTTTTAATATGTTACAGGTCAATGTTGCGATAATGCCATTGGTAGTATTTGTCAGTGGACTCTTTACATCTTTAGTTATGAAGCCTATCAACAAAGCTATTGGTAGAAAAGTAAGTATTTATCATCATTAGTAATATTTGAATGACCGTGAATGGCAACTGCCCCACATAGGCATCAAACCTTCAACCCAGTGGTGGAGGGCTTTTGTGATCATAGATGGTAGCACACTTTAACCAATCGGCTACCATGGCCTTCAAAGAGGGGCATTACACATGCAAATCAATCACTTGGTCATTCCTCAAGTTGAACCTTTATGCAAAAAATGTGTTGGTTTCCACATAATCACATTAAAAATCATCCTCATATGTAAAAAATAAGTGACTTATTATGAAGCACAAAGCCACTTATTAAGACCCCTTGAAAGTAAATGCACCTTAAATGCACATACAGGCAGAGTGATAAAGTTGTTGGCAGTAAAGTTTCTTTGGTCGCTGACTCATTAATAGCCAGAGTTTCCTCTGGCCCTGACACCAGACTTAGACATGTTGACATGTATACAGATATCTGGAGTATAAATGTCAAAGTCTGGTGTCAGGGCAAGAGGAAACTCTGGCTAAGTCATTAAGTACATGGAATGTTCAGACTTTTTGGCAGCAGAATCTCCAACTCATTATAGAGTTCTTAGGAACCTTAAATTTACCTGTGCCCATATATATGCATGGTCCTAACAGTTGATGCTTACTCAGTTGATGCTTACTCACTTGATGCTAACACAGTTGATGCTTACTCAGTTGATACTTACTCACTTGATGCTAACACAGTTGATGCTTACTCAGTTGATGCTTACTCAGTTGATGCATTAATTCTAATGGTTGCATCTTGAAAGTTTTTTTTCAATTATGAAATTGAATCTAATTTTTATTGCAGTACTTATTTTACGAAAAAAAAAAAAATCCTGGTAAAAAAATAAAAGGAATTTGAAAAGTTTTGTACAGATCATTTCGTGTGTGTGAAATATTTATAAATTCTTTTTGTAATTCCAGGCTACCTACTTAATAGGACTGTTGTGCGGTTTAGGAGCTTGTATTTGGATATATTTCCTAGACAAATCTACAAAACACTATTGTTATGGTGTATCAGTGTTCCTTGGCATCGGTGGCTCCACCATGCTGGTTACCTCCCTTGCTATGACATCAGATCTGATTGGACAAAATACAGAGAGTGGAGCTTTTGTGTATGGTGCTATGAGCTTTACTGACAAGCTTTCAAATGGGCTCGCTGTTGTCCTTATTCAACATAATCATCCCTGCACGTAAGTTAACGATCAGGTTTCAAAATGAAGTAAGTTAAGGTTTATTCTGTAAGATAATTATAATATCTCCAAATATAGGTAATGAATATAATGAAATGGCCAATCGAAAAGAAATAGAATTGTTTAATGGATATTTCGATATTTGTTTCAAACGTTCGAGTTTTAAAAATTTGTTTATTTTTTTGTACAGTTTGAGTTTTAAAACTTATTAGGTAATTTTACAATTGTATATGACCATATTGGTTTCTATGAAAACACTAAAACACTCTGTCTCTACAATATTCAACCACAGGAGCTGCTGTCCGCTATGTAACCAGTACTTCAAGACCGTGCTGACATTTGTCCCCGGAGGAGTGGTGCTGCTCGCATTTGTCGTCCTTTGCACTCTCATCCCGACAAAAATAGGCACGAAGAAGAAAGGATGTAAGTTTAATGATGACTTGGCTTGACAACCATCTTTTTCACGATTTACTGTTGTTACAAATTTCTCATGAAGATTTTGTAACTGATACTGAAAACTAAAGCACCATTCAAAAATTCGAAATTATTTCATGACATTATGCTTAACACGTTATTTCTGAGATACAAATTTCTGGATTTTTTGTTTTGTGATTTGGCAGTTATGTAGTATATCAGACGGGCATGTATACTTTTGATATGAAGGTAGAGTGACAAGCAACCACGAGACCGTATAAGTTTGAAAGAAATGGCTGAAATTTCACATCCTTTATGAAAGAGATATCTATACTGACAAGAAACCAATTATCAGAAATGTCGTCAGGACTTGCACGCAAGTGTTTATTTGCATAAGTATTTAAGACATGTTTGTTATCTGTAGTGATAAACTTTTTTATTATTTTTTTATTTTGTTCGATAAACAGAAGCATGCAAACGTGTCTCAAAAACAATGTTTTGTGATATAAGATAGCGGTATTTCTAGTGAACACATTGATGATTATTTACCATTGCCCTTATTCCAGTAGTTTGTACACCACAGCCTTGGTGAGTGATTTTCTGAGGCATGTTTGCATGTAGTATCAATATGCATAGCATTATGATCATTCCAATTGTATTTCATCACGTGATTGGTGTGACATATGGCACCCATTTCTGCTTTGCAGTTTTAAAAATTGCCCATTTAATCAAGCCTATTACTTTGGCAGATTAAAATAACAGCACCAAACTAAATTATTTCTTCTTGATACTGAGTTGACAGATAAAAATGAAGGTTACAAGATCTATTTGTAATATAAATGTATCATTAGTTTGAACTGAGAGGTAACGTGCATTGAACAAAGAATCAGAGGTCCAGTAAAACAGCAGATCAACATTAACATTCCCATGCATTCAGTCAGTGGAGAATAAGTGAGTAAGTTTAGCATAGGGGCACGACACAATTTATTAGGCGCCCTGTGAAGTAACCCTACCACCCTGTTACCTGTAAATTGTGTGATGGCACGCTGTTTATTTTAATGTTACCCTAGTACCTGATCTCCAATTAACTGTGTGTTAGCTAGTATAGCTGTGTAGGTTGTAAGGTAACCCTACTACCTTTTTATTGTAAATAATGTCTGGACCATGTACCCTTAAAGTAACCCGAAAGCCTATAAATTGTGTATTGGCCTTGAGCCTTGTAAAGCTTACCTGCAACCTTATTATTGTAAATTGTTTCTCAGACATGCACCTTGTAACCCTTAAACCCATTTAACCTGAAACCTTATTATTGTAAATTATTTAAATTGTTATAAATTACAGTAACCCTACAATCCTATTCTACAGTAACCCTACAACTTTTCTACAGTAACCCTAAAACCCTTTTCTACAATAACCCTACAATCCTATTCTACAGTAACCCTACAACTCTTTTCTATAGTAACCCTAAAACCCCATTCTACAGTAACCCTAAAACCCTATTCTACAGTAACCCAACAACCCTAATCTACAGTAACCCTAAAATTCCATTCTACAGTAACCCTTAAACCCCCTTCTACAGTAACCCAACAACCCTTTTCTACAGTAACCCTAAAACTCTATTCCACAGTTACCCTAAAACCCCATTCTACAGTAAAACTAAAACCCCATTCTACAGTAACCCTAAAAACCCATTCTACAGTAACCCAACAACCCTATTCTACAGTAACCCTAAAACCCATTCTACAGTAACCTTAAAACCATATTCTACAGTAACCCTAAAACCATATTCTACAGTAACCCTAAAACCATATTCTACAGTAACCCTAAAACCTTATTCTACAGTTACCCTAAAACCATATTCTACAGTAACCCTAAAACCTTATTCTACAGTAACCCTACAACCCTAATCTACAGTAACCCTAAAACCTTATTCTACAGTAACCCTACAACCCTAATCTACAGTAACCCTAAAACCATATTCTACAGTAACCCTACAACCATATTCTACAGTAACCCTAAAACCCTATTATACAGTAACCCAACAACCTTATTCTACAGTAACCCTACAATTCTATTCTACAGTAACCCTACAATCCTATTCTACAGTAACCCTACAACCCTAATCTACAGTAACCCTACAATTCTATTCTACAGTAACCCTAAAACCCTATTTTACAGTAACCCAACAACCTTATTCTACAGTAACCCTACAATTCTATTCTACAGTAACCCTACAATCCTATTCTACAGTAACCCAACAACCTTATTCTACAGTAACCCTACAATCCTATTCTACAGTAACCCAACAACCCTATTCTACAGTAACCCTACAATCCTATTCTACAGTAACCCAACAACCCTATTCTACAGTAACCCTACAATCCTATTCTACAGTAACCCAACAACCCTATTCTACAGTAACCCTACAATCCTATTCTACAGTAACCCTACAACCCTATTCTACAGTAACCCTACAACCCTATTCTACAGTAACCCTAAAACCATATTCTACAGTAACCCTACAACCCTACCACCCATGGTGTCTTGCTTCTATGGCTTCCTTAAATGTATGTTTTAATTTCCAATATTCAGATGATTATCACTTTAAACAACTTGTAATTAAGTACCACATTAGAAATACCACATGATTAGTTATATAACTATAAAACTTTGTTTTTCATGGTGTTTTTGTTTGCTTGAATACCATAAAAAAGTCAGTAAGATATAGGAGAGCAATGCGAAAGTCTTGTACAAAATCTACTCTGTTAGATTCACTGTTTTTATAGAGGTCAATAGCTGACTACAATATATATAACAAATATATTGCATCAAGGCAATTTTTTTTCAGAAACAAAAAAAGGGTTTAGAGCTGTGCTTTGGTGATCCTCATAAGTTTGTCCTACAGAAATATATTGAATTCCTCTTTCGTTGTCTAGCTCAATATTTGTTAAGTTGCTGTCGTTTAACTCTTGAAAACTGCAATTGGGACACAGACTCCAGGTTCTTCCTCTTTTTTTTCATATGACATAGGGGAACTAACTACTGAATAAAAGGAAATTCCCCAATTTAGGATTTCAAATGATAGTATGGGAAAATATTTATTACTTCAGTGTCCATTTTTAAGCCACATGCATGGGTGACTGGATGCTGTTTTATGTCATGGGCTAATGCCGACTTGCCATGTGACAGTTACACACCAATGGTTTCTGGACATTATAATTGTCCAAGGTATAATATCGGGATTATTCCATGTTAACATTGTTAATTTGCTTGTAATTAGTAGGTAAAACATCACTGTCAGCTAGCTAACACACGTTTTAACAACTTAATTACAGTGCTGACTCTCCTAGCTAAGCCTTGATGGACTTGTGTGAAAGGTACTAGCTAACAATTATAGAGGTCACTCTCCACTCTGAGCACTGTCTATTCTGAACTTCTGTAGATAGTATTAATGCACCATTGTTTCTTTACAAGGACCAGTAGGATTGTCTGACTGGGAAAAACAATCTGTAGTTTAATCCAGAACAAGACCTGTATCGGGGAATTAGCCATGTAAACAGTAGCCATGAACCACCTCTGTAATACCAAACCTAAACCATTCATTTATTAGATATTTTATAAGTAATATTGAACAAATCCTGTAACAGTAACCATAAACCTCAGTCCTGTAACGTTAACCCTGAACCAGTCCTGTAACGTTAACCCTGAACCAATCCTGTAACGTTAACCCTGAACCAGTCCTGTAACGTTAACCCTGAACTAGTCCTGTAACCTATTTTACAAAAAACAGCAATAAACTAGTGCTGTAAGAGTTAAACATCCAAATCTTGTGATGAATATTTTATAAAATGCAACTATTAACCAGTCTTTTATCAGTATAACCAGTCTTTCATCAGTATTTGTGAACCATAACACTGACAATGAACCAGTCCTGTGTTTGATATTAATAAAATAGTGCGTGTTTATGAACCAGTCTCCTGTTTCAGTAACATAACTATGAACCACTCTGGTAAATGTCAGTCATCTAATAGCAATTTAGAACCATGCAGTCCTGTAACAGTAATGTAACCCTGAACAACTCTTGACTTGTAATGGTGAACCAGTCCTGTAACAGTAATGTAACCCTGAACAACTCTTGTAATTTAGAACCAGTCCTGTATCAGTAATGTAACCCTGAACAACTCTTATAATGGGGAACCAGTCCTGTAACAGTAATGTAACACTGAACAACTCTTGACTTGTAATGGTGACCCAGTCCTGTAACAGTAATGTAACACTGAACAACTCTTGACTTGTAATGGTGACCCAGTCCTGTAACAGTAATGTACCCCTGAACAACTCTTGTAATTTAGAACCAGCCCTGTATCAGTAATGTAACCCTGACCAACTCTTGTAATGGTGAACCAGGCCTGTATCAGTAATGTAACCCTAAACAACTCTTATAATGGTGAACGAGTCCTGTATCAGTAATGTAACCCTGACCAACTCTTGTAATGGTGAACCTGTCCTGTATCAGTAATGTAACCCTGAACAACTCTTGTAATGGTGAACCAGTCCTGTAACAGTAACAGTGAACCAATTCTGTACTGTGTATTATATAAATTTGAACGAGTCATGTAATCTTGAACTAGTCCAGACCTTACACAATTACCACAAACCTGTCCTGTAACATTAACAATGAACAAGTCCTGTTTGAAAAATTTAATAAACAGTCACTGTGAACGAGTCAAGTAAGTCGTTATGAACCAGAATTGTTTCTATCAACAAGTCCAGTAAAAGATTTTGTGATCATTCCTCTACTGAATATAATACTGTTTAAGTTTTCAGGGTTTTACTTTCATGTTTTAAGTGCACAATTAACACATACTAGCCACTAATCTAAACTAACTCTCACCTTTTTGCATGGGGTTTATATTTCATATATTTCAAGTCACAAACACTGTTAATTATACTGATGGTTGTCACTAAAGTTCATGTGTACACATAGTTATAGAGCAACACAACACTGTCACAAGACCAAAAAGTTTAATTAACATGATTTTCTATTCATTGATGGCAATATTTCACTGTTAAGAATTATAAATTAATGCATGATTTTTCCAATATTAAAGTTCAGAACTTAACATAAATACCTTGAGTAATGTCATATTAATTATTTGCATTAGAATAATTTAATACAGGTTGGCATATAAAGACAACATTTTAATTGAATAATTTTCTCTCATTGTGCTTTTACATACTTGCCAACTCTTCCTATCTAGGAGCGAGACGCCCGATTTTGGATTTTTTTAATTTAGTATTTTTAACCAGTGATGTTGCATAACTATTCCTTTATTCTAAGTTTTAATAATAGAAAAAACTAGAAATATGTCATTTGAAAGGGTGATATTATTTTGTCTCTTGGGGGGTATTTATTCTTGTTTTGAGCATGTAGAATCTCAATGGATAATTTCAAAAAGTTTGCAAGTGTGCTTTTATCTTGAATCATCAGTAAAATGATATATTATTAATTTTTCAGAAAATATAAGAGGTAAACTTATCAGTGCAAGTTCAAATGATTATGATTATAATTTTTTTCCTCAAATTCATTTGCAGAAATTACATGACAAAATCAGAAAATTTCTAAAACATACCAACTATGTTTCCTATTTGATAAAAATATTAGTGTAAAATATTCAACCAGCAAAATCAATATTAAATTTATGTATCATAACATATAAGCACTTCCTTTCAAGGCCACTTAGACCTGAATTCCAAGAAAAATAGACATTGTGAAATTAACCATATTAGAAAATTTGCCAAAATTTGGAACGTTGAATTTGACTCTTACATTACAGTAAGAATAGGATACATGTACATTGGAATCATATTTATGAATAAAAAACCCGAAACTAATTTACTGAATTTCTACTTTTCATCTTCATTTTAAAATGAAACAGGAAATTGTTAAAGCCAATTAAGATGAAAATCTTAATAAAAAAAGTCTTTGTGCACATTGAGAAAGAAAAAAAACCCATTGTTAGCGATTCTATTTTGAGCAATTGATGTCTAAAAGTACATTTTTTGTTTCTTCCACAGTGAGACTTCTGCAGCCAGTGATGAATAGAGAAGATTCAAATGGTGCCATCCCCGGAGCGATAACGTGTCCGACGAGTCGCAACATTAGCATTGACGAAGAGAGTGATGACCACATTCAGCAACTGTTGGCTAAAAGTCCTAGTGTCAACTCCTGTTGATACAAACACGACTGATCATAGCAAGTACTACGCTTGTCTAGTAAAAGGTCCAATGTTGTATGCCCTTCTTGCAAGAGTTCAAGGGAAAGGATTGCTAAGCTCTCAATCTCTGTCAGAGTTATCAGAGACTTCTTTAAGAACAATTCTACATATTTTTGTGGTTGGCACCTACGATCAGTTTACTACACTGTTGTATAAAGTACAAATGTATATATACCTGAATTTTTAAGTACAATGTGTATTTGCTCTGAAAATGCATAACTTGTGCTAGAATTGTCCTCAATTGTATTTCTTTCCTTGATTAATCTGAATTGTCATGAATGATGCCTCGTGATCTGCAGGTTTAAGGATATTTAGTTCAAGCACCCTTCAGAAAGCATTATACATGTACCTGTTATTTCAAGGAATAATACTTATAGGACAACTTTATTGGCCAAAGCTGCATAAATTGTGTTGAAATATTGTACACGGTTGTATGGACAACTCTGAGAATGGAATCCAGAGCTAGAACCAGGTTCCTCAGACCATGGTCTTATCAATGTTGGATAATTATAGAAACTTACAGATCTGTATGTATATAATATAAGATTGATCACACAAGCTGATAAAGAGAATCTTGTACTCCTGCTTGTATATAATATAAGATTGATCACACAAGTTGATAAAGAGAATCTTATACTCTTTATACATGTATCTGATATAAGATTAATCACACAACCTAATGAAGAGAATCTTGTACTCCAGCATGTATATTGTATCTGATATTATTGAAAAGCAAGTTGTGATTAAGAGAATCTTACACTCCTGTATATATCTGATATAAGATTGATGAAACAAGATGATAAAGAGAATCTTATACTCTATATATAAGATTGATGAAACAAGTTGATGAAGAGAATAATTTCATAATCTACATATCTGATAAAAGATTGATCACACAAGCTGATAGGAGAATCTTGTTCTTCTGTATATGTAAACATTGTATCTGGTGATACTGATAAATATGTTGTGATTAGACAATCATACACTCCTGTATGTAGCTAATATATAGAGAATAATACATGCCTTTTTCCATATCACACCTAGTATCAACCCTCGACCAATATCAGGCCGAGGGCTGATATTGGTCGAGGGGTGATACTGGGTGTGATATGGAAAAAGGCATGTTTTATTCTGTTTATTATATACTTACTAATAAAAACTACTATCTTATGATCTATTTTTCTTTTGAAATATTGAAAAACGAAAAGTTTCCAAAAGGGGTGTGATACAGGTTTTGCGGGCAGATACAGGTTTTGGGGTTTGATACGGCGGGTGTGATACGGCAAGGGCTGATATGGAATAGAGCAATTGTGACATATCACATATGCAAAAAAAATGTATTTATTAGTAAGTATGTAATAAAAGCTAATATCAAATGGAATTTAGAACTTGCTTCATAAATTCCAAACCAAAGTGAGTAGTAGATGAATATCTTCAATATCTAGTCAGAGCTATTAAGAAAACTGTGATGGATAATTTTGTATGTACGTGTATTACAAAATTAATTTAAAGGTTACGTGATCTACTGGAATACATGTTGTGTCAGAAATATTTTTGATGTATTTATTATCATACTGGTATGATTGGTATCAGTGATTTGTTCTGTTGTACACAGGAGAACCTTCTCTCAGATAATTTGACAAACTATAAATATTGAGTTAATGTTAAACACATTTAGTACTCTTGTCTTCCATATATATGAACAAACTACTTAAGGCAGATACTCATTTAGATGTATAATTAGTTCAATTTAGTGTATTTATAGAATTAAAACATACTTTTTGGTATTATAGAATTAGTACATTTTCGGGCAGTGGCATTGATGTAAAATAATTACCTTATGATAGGATGTATTTTTATCTCAGCAGTGTTGTAAAAATGGCATAACACCAACAGACATACATTACTATAGGACGTTACTTAGCTGTTCTATCATCGTGGCATTTTACAGTGTTCAATACAAGAAAAATTAGCAATTTTTCAACAAAAATAGGCAGTTCCTTTTTATAATTTTTTTTGGCAAACTTTATGAGTTGCAGTATAAAGATATATGTTATATATTTTACAAGCCCTTACAAGTGAGATTTTACCAATAGTAAGTCTACACTTACAGGTACATTCATTAGTTCTGTTAGTCCTTTCCATTATTTGTTTATATTCTATTCCTCAATTGATACTAATTCTACCAGCCAATACAGTCAGTTTGTGTATTTTTTCATCTGTATCTATTTCATTACTATTTCTCATATAATTTATAAGCATGTGATGCTTAAAAGCGCAATATTTTATAAACGTACTTGGAATCTGTTATTTTTTTTCAATTTTGTTTTAAGACAATAGTGTTCTACCCGGTAAGTTGTTTGCTGTTTGATTTTACATACAATATAGATATACTTGATTATTGTAAATGTGACATAATGTAATTGCTGTAACAGCTGATATATATTACCTTGTATATATTTACATATATATGGCCGATACATCTGTTTGTAACATGTCCTCAAATTAAGAATAGTCATGCATACTTTTTAACTTTATTATGTAAGATTACTCAATACATCATTTTCGACATATTTTTTCTCTCTGGATTCAACCAGGTTTTAGATAAGCATATGTCTCATGATAGTAGAGAATGTATACTTCCGGTAAACACTGTTTATATTACAGCTGTTCCAAGAATAAGTTAAAACACTGCGTGTGCAGTTCCTGACTGCATGTTTAAAGTCAGTGATATCCGTTACACGAAGGATGTGAAATTTCAATCATTTTCAGTACAAATTTACCCTCTTATACTTTCACAGTACAAATTTACCCTCTTACACTTCCACGGTACAAATTAACCCTCTTACACTTCCATTAAGTTGACGTTTCACTGGTTTACCATCCTGCCGGAAGTACACATGCCCCCCGCCACTAACTTACCATGTGACTTCCATATCACATGACTTTCATTTGAGAAACTTGTATCTCGGAAACAACGTAATGAAAAGTTACATTACTTTGCATTTTGCGCAAGTCTCTGGTTTGAGCCTGCTATTTTTTTCATCATTCTTTAATCAATATCTGTAAAATCATGATACTTGACGTGCTAAATTAATTTCATATATATTGCAATACCCCAACCCCTACACATAATCTCTCACTGAAAGATGATGGTCTTATATCATGACAATGAAATAGAAATAATAATAATTATTCAGTAAAAGCCTGATACAGGTACAAATATCACATATGATCAAAGATTTCAATTGCATAATAATCACAGATTTATCACAGTATTTAGATTATCACATTAATGTTAATATCACAAATTTTGGAGCACTTAAATACAATGTATCTGCATGATGACTAAGCTTTAACCTAGGATATCCCATGAATGCTGGGTGGCAGCTTATTTCCAATGGGGTCCTCTAGTAAAGATCTTAATTACTTAGACAACAATAGGTCCTAAGAATTTGACAATATAAGATGGCATAATTTCTCGTAATAATATATATATGAATAAAATAAGTTGTATTAATTGGTCAAATATGATGATGTTATATTATTTCATCAAAATAAGATGTTACCGGTATATTATTTGACAGTATAAGATGGAGTTGTGTTTTGCGTATCATTAGAAAATAAGATTGCCTTTTAATAATATATATATATATATGTGGGGCTGTGCAGGATAATATTTCCACTTGTATTATTAAAATAACAATTATATGTATTACTGTACATATCACAATGCAAGATGATGTCATTCTTGCTGATATTTTGTAACAATTTATATATCAATATTTGTAGCAATTGTTTGCATTTCTACTGAAATGCAGTAGCTTTAGATGGGCTTATTGTGGGATAAATATGGTAATGCAAATACTAATATTAAAGCTGTATCCTTTAAATGTAATATACAGAAAAATTGTAAATATGTATTTATGTACATCTAACAAGTGTTAAGTTTTTTCGTTAGTTCTCATGCACTTGTATATATACACCAAATACTCTGTGACTTACTTGTATGTAGCTTTACATTAATGCTTAAAGTATAATTCAAACCTTACTCCATGTATTGATATTCTTTATAGTTATACATTATTTATTAACATAGTAAAAACCTCTTACCAGAGGAACTTGTCTTATTGGGTCCATTAGCTTATAAGTGTTTGAATTGTCAAGATGTTTGAGTTTCGAAGGTATTATTTTTAATGATTCAAGGAGAATCATGTATGTTGGGGCTGTCTCGGGTAAGAAGAACTATAACCAGACATATATTTAAGGATCCCTGTACCATGATAAAAATCTGTGACTTTGCCTCATAACTTTTTTCAGCAGGACCTGAGCTTAAATAAATCATTTATGAAAAGAAAACAATATCTTGCAGAACTTTTATGAAAAACTATAAAGTTGAACAATAAAACAAAAAACAACAGTAGTATTCTAAGTGTGAAAACGCAGTGTGGCCAGGATTTGAACCCTGGACCTCTGATCAAGAAGCCCTGGCCCAGTTGCACTATATTTGTATCCAAAAATGAATTTAAGCGGAGATTACCCAATGCAGGGAAATTTACAATGGAGTTCTCTAGTGTTTTTCCTGCTTTGGGACGAGGATCCTTAAGTTCTTATGTTAATAATGTCCTAAATACAATTGTTTAATTAAGCTTCAATATTTTCAGCAGTAATAGCTAGTTTTCAACTTCATTGTTTTGAAATGTGTCCAAAAATGTGTGGAATTTCTTTGTACAAGGTAATACTTTCTGAATGCAACCATTTTGAATCCTATAAAACGTTTATTGTGCAAACATTTTTAATAATTATGAAAACTTTGCCTTTTTGTTGTCATTTTATCACTGTTCGGATGTATTGTTATACATGTTTTTATGCCCAATGCTGCAAAATACTCTGCTTATTGTACAGGTATTAAAACATTACATTACATATACAATGTATATCAACATGCATGTTGATTTAAATGGCATTTTTATGACATTTTTATCAGTCATATTAAGACAGGCTGTGAGTAAGAACCATGGTTGTGTCGCCTTTTTTTCTCAGATTATAATGGCATAAATATCTTGCATATCTAAGGAACTTTCTTATGTCAGATTATAATGTTCGGGCCAGGTGAGCTTATGCCGGCGAGGGTCGGTCATCTGACCGTCCGGGGTCAATATTTTAGCTTTAAACAACTTCTTCTTAATAACCAAAAGGCCTAGGGTGATGATATGTGGCCAGAAGCAAACTGGGATGAAGGGCTTCCAAGTTTGTTATTATAGATATCCTTCACCCATATTTAAGGTCACAGGGTTCAAATATGTTAAAAACTTTAAACAACTTCTGATTAATATTTGGTCAGTAGCATGCTAGGATGTAGGGCTAACAAGTTTGTTCAAATGATGACCTTCACTCTTATTCAAGGTCACAGGGGTTAAATTTGCAAAAAAAAAACAAAAAAACTATAAACAGCTTCTGAATAACCAAAATCCCCAGGATGATGATATTTGGCCAATAGCATGCTGAGATGAAGGGCTACCAAGTTTGTTCAAATCAATGACCTTCACCGATATTCAAGGTCACAGGGGCCAATCGTCTAAAAAAAACTTTAAACAACTTCTTCTGAATAGCGAAAAGGACCAGGATTATGATATTTGGTCAGAAGCATACCAGAATGAAGGGCTACCAAGTTTGTTCAAATGAATGACCTTTACTCATATTCAAGGTCACAGAGGTCAATTGTCTTCAAAAAACCTTTAAACAACTTCTTCTGAATGACCAAATGGTCCAGGGTGATGATATTTGGCCAGAAACATGCTGGCATGAAGGGCTACCAAGTTTGTTCAAATTGATGACTATGACCTATATTTAACCAGAAACATATACTGTATTTCAAAATCCTTTTTCTCGAATATGTTGTCTCCCCTTGATGAGAAATCTTTCCTTGACCTTACACAACTTCCAAGGGACTAAAAATTCCTTAAGTCCAAGGTATGGGACTCCAAAAAATTACTAGGGGGGTCTTGCAAAAATGTGGACCTGCATTGTACATATTCCCAAGTTGTCAAAAACGAAAAAAAAAAATCTTGTCATCAAGCCCACATTGACTTTCCTTCTGAAACACACCTTTTTTAGTGCTTAACAATAATAAAAGTGGTTATTTTAATCTAGTACATAGTGTTTACTTTTATTTAATATTATTCGTTGACGTTTATATTGTCAGCGGGCCTACAGAAACCATGAAAAAGCCCTGGACCCTGGTAGTATGACAAAAAATGTTTAGCCCCTGCTTCCATAGTATATATCACTGTGGTAAACAAACACATTAATTGGGGTCAGTGATGCCTCCAAAAAAAAGAATTGAGTGTTTATTTCAGTTACATCGGGAAGGTAGCTTAAGTTCACATCAAACCTGCACGTTTCCTCTCACAGATCTGACAATTCTGTCTGAAATATTTGGTTAGATCAGTCTGTAACCTTGCTTTGAAAAAATAAACTCATTCACCCTTGAAGACACATTTGAACTCTTCCAATTCAAAGGTTGGAATAGTTCATTGTGAAATTTCAGGGGTGAATGAGTTAAATGCATGTAAAATAATCACCATGTCTCCTCAGATTGGCCAGTCTGATAATAATATATGTATTTATTTACATGGGAGATAAAAGAAATCTCTTCTTTGATGAAATTAAGGGGCAATCATTGATTGCTTTGTTGTACAGAATTAGTGAACCGAGTTTCATATTATTCAGAAAACACATGTTAAAATCTAGAATTTTGACAGGAGTTCAAGAAACGCCTAAACTTAAATATTTTTTTAAATCCTTAATCGTTTGATAACAAGGACCTTAGATGCATATATTCTATTTGATATATATATATGAGATTCATAAAACTCGTCACAATTTTAATTTTCAATTTAGCTCTCCAGATGGCTGCTAAAATGACAAATTCTCACTTAACTTGCTTCATAAATCCTCACTCATTTTTTTATCCTTGGTGATATTTCTTTGAGGATGAAAATCTTAATTTAATCACTAGCAGTGTCTGCATTGGCCGAGCTAGTGGTTAAGGCATCTGACTGTCTTCAATCACTCTCCACCTGTCCCTCCAGGGTCGTGCCCTACACATGGGGTTAAGTCTTCATGTATTTGATCGTAGGTTGGTGTTTTCTCCAGATCCTCCAGTGGGTTCTCTGAAACCTGGCTCATTCTTAAATGAACAAAGCTGTTGATAGGGCATTATGAATACACAACCTAACCAACTGCTCACCAGTGCCTAGCATATATACATTTGTTTAATCCAAGTTATTGAAATTGAAGATAAAATTATTATTATTAGGCCCCCTTAAAATATTATATAATTGTAACTTGTTTGTTCAAAACATTATGTCCTCCTTAATTATTGGAGGGTTAGACTATAAAGCATATCAACAGAAGATTTACATTTTTTAAAAAAGAACTGCATGGTAGTACTTATATGGTATTCCTAGAATATGTCAACCTATTGTGGACACTGTTGAGCACAGGGTGTGGGTGGCAGGTGTGTGTGGATTTCTTGCACCAGGTAAACATTTTTTTTCTTTTTTTTCCTCCTTAAACTCATTATATACATGTATATGAAGGGGCATTTCAGAAAAATATTAATATTTAATTTTCTGGTGCAAAAATGTGTTCATCAGATAATTTTGTTGAACATAAATTTCCAATATATATGAATATTAACTTAAGTTTAAAATCGGTTGTGTTATCTTTGAATTGAAAAGATTACTTTAAGTATTTTGGCAACTTCAGTGGTGCGTTGGAACACAAGATTAATGTTTTTTTGCATTCTACTTCATACAAGAGATTTCTGATTTAAAAATGTAAGCATACTATAATGCATGCTTAATTTGTTGTGTAAATTCGTTGGTGGTTATATGTGTGCTATTTGTATGAAACTTCAATAAAAAAAACTTGAATTAGAAAAAGTCTTCGTTTTTTGCTATGATTTTAAGGTTTATAAATTTCTGAAAGATTTACTACACATAAATATAAGCTTTCTAAAAGCTTACAATAGTGTCATGAATAAAAAATAAGTAACATGAATGTGTAACCTTAGGGTCTCAACTGTCAGGTGTCACGCTGAGTAATAGAAATAGTCACTAATATGCACGAACATGGCGGAATGTAATTTGTAAGAAACACTGAAAAATATGATCCATGAAAGTGCACGTTAAGCTCAACGTACGGTAAACGAATCGCATTTTTAAACAAACTAATCACTAATCCGTTATTTGCCTGAAACAAATAACATTTTATTTAGCCAATATTCTGTCGAAGTTTTATTAAACATAATAATCGCAGATAACACATGGAATTGATTTATTGAATGAAAAATCTTTCCGAATCTTACGCCGAACGATTTTGCAGGTATACCAAAACGAGAGCGAGGCTGACAGCAATCGTCAACCTCCAATACTGTTTTGTGCTTTTTGTTGAGATTTCAAAAGACGAGTTTACTGTAAGAAAAGGGGGAAGACAAAAAGAAAACTCCGTAATATAACAAGAAATAAGTAAAGTTTGAATAACCATACCCATACTTGGTCATAAATGACGTAAAGGGATTAGTTCAAATTATATAACATCGAAGTTGGTTTTAAGAAAACAATTATTTACAAAGATAATACTTGTTACGTAAAAAAGAGAATATTAAAGGATTTTATAAGTAAAAATCATGTAAATATAATTGTTATGTATATTGTTCCTCCTTGGCAGAAATGTATTACATCTGTTTACATTGGTAAAATCACGCATCAAATAAGATAACAAACACAATGGAAGTCAAATCTGCCGCCATTGAAACTTTCGGGTGTGGTATCGTGGGGTGTTTTCTGACAGGTACGAGCAAATGTTATATATAAGCGCACAGCAGTAAAGTCAGTCACATTTGATTTTGCATCGAATAAGAAAATGGCGCGTAGTCCGAAAAAAAGTTCGAGATCAAGAAGCAGGAGTAGGAGCAGGAGCGCTTCTCCATCTAAAAGGAGGAGTCCAAAGAAGAAGGCAGCATCCAAGAAATCTATCGCAAGCCCGAGAAGGCCGCGTACGAGGTCTAGGAGCAGAAGTGCCTCTCCAGGCAAGAAGACGGCAACGATGAAATCTGTCTCAAGCCCGAGAAGGCCGCGCACAAGGTCTAGGAGCAGAAGTGCCTCCCCGGCAAAGAAGGCCATGTCAATCCCAAGAAGGCCGCGTACGAGGTCTAGGAGCAGGAGCGCCTCTCCAGGAAAGAAAACCCATAAGAAGAGCCCAAAGAAGAAGGTAGCAAAGAAGACGAGCCCTAAAAAACGCCCTAGAACTAGGAGCAGGAGTCGCAGTAGGAGCCGAAGCACGTCCCCTTCCAAGACAGCTAAGCCAAAGAAGGCCAGAAGCCCAAAGAGGAAAGCGGCAAGGAAGTCGGGAGGAGCCAAGAAACCTACAACTCTGTCGATGGTTGTTGCAGCTGTAACCGCCATGAAAGACAGAAAGGGGTCGTCCGTTCCAGCCATTAGAAAATATGTTATGGCTAACTTCAGCAAGTTTCTTTCTGCCAGCAGGATAACATCATCTGTGAGGATTGCTTTGGCCCGTGGACTTAAGACTGGGGCTCTGGTGCGACCCAAAGGATCCACCGCTACTGGAGCAACTGGACGATTTAGGGTTGGAAACACAAAGAAAGTGAAGAAGCCTATGAAGAAGAAAGCAAAGAAGCCAAAGAAACCAAAGAAGAAGAAGGCAAAGAAACCAAAGAAGGCGAAGAAAGTAACAAAAAAGGCGAAGAAACCTAAGAAGGCAAAGAAATCTCCAAAGAAGGCAGCAAAGCCGAAGAAGTCTCTAAAGAAGAAGACCACTAAACCGAAAAAGGCAGCTCCGAAGAAAGCCACTGCAAAGAAATCTAAGAAATAGATTTCTTTGAAAACACCCGAGTTCAAATCTCAAAAAGGCCCTTTTAAGGGCCACCCAATTTACTCAAAAATCTCCCTTTGAGCTTCGAAATAACGCATAAGTTTTGTCATAATGGCCTACAATGTGGGTGTTTTATTTCGCAGTACACCGGTAATCATCCTTTGATTTGAAATAAAATATTTGACGGAATGTCGATAGATGTTTCCAATGAAAAGGACAAAAAGTTAGCTTATTACATTCCTAATTATGACTTCCATAATGTAACATGACGTCATTTAGAATAAAAATGTAACACAGCCCCCTTTTCACAAAATTTCGGGATTTAAAAAACATTCGCGCTCACTTTATTCTATTAACGAATTCTAAATTGCGGAATCCCTTTTGTCGGTGAATGTGGGTGTTAACTCATACCAATGAATTGCTAGTCTCCAGTGCATATGGTTTTTATTGTACCCAAACTTCTAAAATGAAATGAAGCCAACCGAAAAAAAATTGCAATTATTTTTCTATTTTCTCGTAAAATATTTATTTCTGATGCACATATATATATTAAGAGAATTTTCTTTATTGTGATTATACGATAGCGTGTTAGGCCCACTATGAAAATATATTTTTCTTGTGCGAACAAGAAAATAATATGCCCTGAGAAAAATACATGACTACGGGATTTCTCAGCTAAGACTGCTTTATTAAGTCATTTTTCATACCGTCTTCGAATTCTCTCCCATTAAAAGAGAATTCAAGAATCACTAATTTCGATAATTATTCCTCAGGTTTTTTGTTTATGTCAAATTCTCCCCACCAGAGATTTGTTTACGAAGCTCACGCCATTATATTGCCGTTGATTATGACTTTTTAGAGCAAACATTGTTTGTGTAGCGTGTAAATGTTGATACCATGTACATTTCTATATAACAAGCCAATTTAACATTTGATACCTAAAAGAGATACATATATATATCTAATACGATGCAAGAAATATAACGACATTCAAAAATACCTCTTTTAAGATATCTTTCATTTTCGAGATGGTTCTGGGTTTTTTGAATTTTATCTGATTCTTTTAAAGACGTATTCTCCTCAAATATCAAAGAAAATTAAATATGACCATGCAGAGATGTATTATACGTCTCTGATATGACATAATTTAATCCACTTGTAAAGCCAGTAGGAGACGGTTCAATATATATGCTAACCGATTTAATAGTCGAACATATGATGTGACTCTTTTGTCAAAAATGGTATATTAGAAATGTCTCTTGATTGGACCATGCGTGCGTCGGTACGATTTCCGCGAAAGAGACGTACAGCTGCATGTACATGTATATACAATCGGGAACCGTCGGCACTTTCCGTAAAAGAGGATCTCGTTTATTGAAAGTGCCGACGGTTCATGATCAATTCCCGATTGACGTATATACGCCCAACCAGGGATGTGTAGTCCACTACACATCCCTGGCCCAACGAAAGAATAAAACTACAGGATTCCTCAATTTAGACTCGAATTGATTAACTTCCATACGATCCATGGTATTGATATTAGGTCAATAGGTTAATTGGGTGTAGCTATAGTGGTACATGGTTAAGTGCCCACATATAAATGACCTTGGCCTACTTTCAAGGTCACATGGGTTCTCTGATCATAACTTCAAATGGTTGGGGTCTCCATCCTGTAATGTAAATGTTGCTGGGTATGAAGAAACGAATACGATCATGCTACCAGAGCAAGACCTGGGGAGGGCCCTAACCCTTAAACCGTTGGTCTTGGCCATATGCATATATATCTATACGAATTTCAAAGTTACCATGTACAAATACTTGCTTTTTGGTACAGGTGAATCAAATACACTAAGTACAATATTACTTTTGATGAAATTACTTTTATATCCAGGTGTAAAATAGCCTGATCTGCTGTATTTAAACAAATTACCACTTCTTTTTCTAAAGTTGTTTGCTTGTTCAAAGGAGGAGACAAACCTAGAAACATGCACACATGCATATAACACACACAAGGCAGGTCTTTTAATGACCTTAGCTGTTAATAGGATGTTAAAACCAAATCCAAACAAACGTTTACATATAACTTAGTACTGTAGAATATCATATTCATTTTCTTTAAATCACTTGTTGGTTTTAATTTTGTCTGTTTATGTTGTAATTTTGTTTACCGGTAGCAATTCTGACAAAATGTCTGATGTAAAAAAAACTTACTTATTATTATATATATATATTATTTTTTTTAAATAAATAATGCACTTTATAATGTGCCTTTTTAGCCGCCGATAAATTTTCCAAAATCCTATGGAACCAATGCATCAGGTTATTTGTTTCTATACCAGATTTGGCATTCCTACGCTAGATCTAGCTGGTATGCTTTTAATGTATGTAGATATAACTTAGTATACCTATATGCAGAATAAACTGCTGAAGGATCAGCAAAAATAGAATGTGGTCAGTATGAGAGAAACTGCATATCATCTTACAGGCAAATGCTTAGAAAAAAAGCAAAGCAAAACAAAAATAACAAACAAAAAGAGTTTATTAAATCTATAATAGCTGTCCACTGCCAAATATCTAAACAGCACAAAAAAACAGCAAATTCAGTACAGACATTCAAAATTGAATCATCAAGCACATAACCTCGAACCATCCTTCAAATATTCACAAACTATTCACATATAATTAAATGTTTTCTAGCATCCTCAAAAACCATCACACATACTCTTAACCAATCCAACATTCTCAAAAACCATCACACATACTCTTAACCAATCCAACATTCTCAAAAACCATCACACATGCGTATAGAATTTGAAATAATTAAAGTTCTCAATTATCAACCAGAAAATCTCATTCAAAAGACGTTTTTTCAAATACTTTCCGTTCGAAGATTTCCTCATGTTTTCCTGTGACAACTCTGAGACCTGAGTTAAGTGGGTGTAGAAGATGTGAAAATAGGCTGAAATATTGTTCAAGCAAAAATACCCTGATATGAAAGAACTGTAGACTAACTTTCCTTACAGCATTTAATACATCAGGTAATTATCTTAGATATTTTATGATGAATTTTCAGAATAATTTCATATACAAAACAGACATTTTACAGCTTCAAAACACTGTGTTACTAACGCAAGACTGTAAGTTTGTAAAAACAAATATCTCTAAACAAACTATAGAAAGTTGCAAAGAGATGAAAAGTTTTCTTTGATCAATCTTTAAATGAAATATTTGATTGTTTGTTTAATGGTGGAATAATAAATATCAGTTAAATAATCAACAACTTCACAATAATCAACAACTTCCGAACAGATTTTAAGTTTCTCCCATACTTGTATATAAAATACCAACTAATGACAGTCGGAACATGATTTTTGTTCTCCGCTCTTGCATCAAATGAAAACAAAGATAAAATGCTACTGAAAATAAACATGCCTTAGTAAAATTTGTAAAAAAAAAATATACTAGTACCTATTGACTAATATAACTTCAAAAAATTAAGTTTGAAAACGTTAAATCATAATTTTTTGAAAAATACTATAAGCATACTTACATTTATTGAAGTGGTAATTTATTTGTGTAAATTCGAAAGCACTTAATTATGATGATCAATAGATATAAAATCCATGTACTCATAGTGTTACCTGTAGCACCAATGATAATGATATATATAGGCTTGTAGTGACATATTACTGAGACAGGCCCAGTGGGAATACCTATTGGCTTACCCTGGACATGTGTATCAAAACTTTTTCCTGGTGTGAGATTAAAAGAATCTTTCATTCCCTTGGGGGTGATATTGGAGAATCTCAACCCGAGGGGGAAGATTCTTAATTGCCAAACATGAGGCTTCGCCGAGGGTTGAGATTCTCCTAGCTCACCTCAAGGGGTGCATGGTTCTGTTTCTCTTACCCTGTTGTCTTTTTCATATACATAATGCAATGTTGATGTTACATGCTTAATAATTTGTTCATTTGAAGTCAATGCATTGTTTACGTGATGCCATTATACTGTTGACATGACATCATAATAAATAATAATAATATACAACATTTGATATAGCGCCCCATCTAGCTAACATAAGCCTCTCTAAAGCGCTTTACAGTGCATAGATATACAATGTTTTACAGTCAATACAATTAGCATATATATTAATCAATACAATATTGAGGAATTCGCAGGAGCTGCCTTATCAGGCGCTAACTACTAGTCCTATGCCACCTGACTTATATCTCCCTATGTGTGTATGCCTGCGTGTGTGCTGATTGTTTTGATGGAGGAATCCCCCCGTCTCAACCCTAGGGTGAGACAAGGATATCTTACAATGGGTAAGGTGTGGATACAACTGTCCTGGGTAAAAGATAACAGAATCTCAACCCTCGGGGAAAGATTCTTAAGTTGCCAAACACTCTCCAAAGCCTTGTGTTTGGCAACTTGAGTATCTTCCCCTTGGGTTGAAATCCCCCTATATCATCCCAAAGGGGTCGAGAGATTCTATTAACCTCACAACCGTTAAAGTGAAGATACACCAGTCCAGGGTAAACGAAATCCTCGTCTCACCCTAGGGTTGAGATTGGGGGGATTCCCTTATTCATCACAATTGTATGACATCATGTCAGACTGTCAGTACAGTTACATCAAGTCAGCTATGCATTAACATCACATCAAAGATTCTATTTATTTCTATCTTACTGACTTACTGAGGCGATTCTGGCAGAAACACCCACTGCTTCCTCTTTCACTACAACCACACTGATATCGTCTACTTGACTCACCATCTGTTCACTATTATCACCGACACAGAGACAGTATTGCATCTTAACTCATTCACCCCTACATATCTACACTGGACCTGCCAAGTCGTTGAATTGGTAAGGTTCAAATGGGACTTTAGGGGTGATTGAGTTAGAACACATTGGTAAATTTAACAAAGGAACCTATAAATAAAACAATTATCAATACAAATGTTCAGCTCATAATCAGACAGTACTATGTAGGTACATGTTATAAAACTGAAAATGGTATGGTATAGTTATATATAAATAGAGGATATTTAATGGTTTCCAGTTATATATCACATCAATTTCTTGAGTATGGCAGAATATCATTTTTTTACGAGTGCAAATTAAAGCATGAGTAAAAATATTGGTAAACTCTGACAAACAAGTGAAATATTTATGGTATTTAATAGGAAACCATTAAATATTGTATATATTAATATTTAATTACGATTTTAAATGACGGTGAAAAGAAGAGTGGCTATCCAATGCACCACCTGAACACTTTAGTGGACAATTGTATTGTAATGGAATGGTCGTCAATCATATATTGATAAGCAACACACTCATTCCTGTATATAATCCATGATCATTAAATGTCCTATTTATGATATTTATGAGATCAAAATCAGGATATAACACATATCATACATGAACAATTTTCATTTTTTTATTAAACAATGTCAACGAATGCTGTGTTCAAATTCAATCAGTGCTACTTACAGGTTACAGAATTGACAATGGGATGTTGAACAAACTCTGGGATGATCATGGGAAAAATTTGTTTGTACAAGCTCAGTTGTTATCTTCATTGTATCAATCCATGTGTTGGTAAACCTGATACATTGTATTGAGTCATGTATTGGTAAATTTTTTACATTGTATTGAGTCATGTATTAGTAAACTTGACACATTGTACGAGTCATGTATTGGTAAACTTGTTACATTGTATGAGTCATGTTTTGGTAAACTTGTTACATTGTATGAGTCATGTATTAGTAAACTTGACACATTGTATGAGTCATGTATTAGTTAACTTCTTACATTGTATTAAGTCATGTATTGGTAAACTTCTTACATTGTATTGAGTCATGTATTGGTAAACTTGTTACATCGTATTGAGTCGTGTATTGGTAAACTTCTTACATTGTATTGAGTCATGTATTGGTAAACTTGTAACATTGTATTGAGTCATGTATAAGTAAACTTGACACATTGTATTGAGTCGTGTATAAGTAAACTTGACACATTGTATTGAGTCGTGTATTGGTAAACTTGTCACATTGTATTGAGTTGTGTATTGGTAAACTTGACACATTGTATTGAGTCATGTATTGGTAAACTCGTTACATTGTATTGAGTTGTGTATTGGTAAACTTGTCACATTGTATTGAGTCATGTATTGGTAAACTTGTAACATTGTATTGAGTCATGTATTGGTAAACTTGACACATTGTATTGAGTCATGTATAAGTAAACTTGACACATTGTATTGAGTCATGTATTGGTAAACTTGTTACATTGTATAAGCCATTTGTTGGTAAACTTGACACATTGTATTGAGTCATGTATTGGTGAACTTGTTACATGGTATATATGTATAGAGTCATGTACTTTATTGGAAATCTTCTAAAATCTTTAGATAATATTAAGTTAACTATTCTCACTTACTGTACATAACAAAGACATGTGCACTGGTTAACTTGTTATTATTTTATACTGAATCATAAATTGATTGGTAAAGAATTTGAATGGTATTTAGACCAGAATTGTTAAAATTTTACACTGTATGTATATAGAGTCATGTATTGGCCGGTAAATTCTTAACAAGGAATTCACTATTCAGTCATGTATTTGTAAATGCTATTGTGTCATGCATTAGTCAAAATATTTTACTTGATTTGTTGAATCTGTAATCACTTCAAAAAGAAAAGAGATTTGTATTTGTAAGTTGTACTGAACACAAGTTTGGGTCATAATAATCACTTCCCAAACAATTAATGAGATATCACCTCCTCAGCAGAAGCAGGGCTATTGACTGTGTTCACCAATATCCCCAGATTCACAGATTTTTCTAATGTACTCCATTGACTCATCTTCGCTAGCGAAGGGTTACCATCCGGTACGATCTACCTACTCTTGAAGACCAGATTGTACCGGATCGTAACCCTTGGCTAGTGAAGATGCCCTTGACTATGGGATTATCAGACCGGGATGAGCCTCTTCTAAAGACGACTATCTCTGGTTCATATGCTCACACATTGCACAGCATTGCATTAGCTATTGGTAATTATTTTGTACAGATATGCAGAATTGTTTCTGTTGTATTTCAAAGTCAAACTTGATTGAGAGAAATCTCTTCGTCAGCAGAAGCATGGCCATTCTTTAAGGAGACAGTTAACTCGGTATCCTGAAATTTACCAGTGTTTTTCTTGGGTATGAGATTATCAGGCAAAGGCTTGCCAGCTGTCTCCGGCAAAAACAGAACCAATAATCCACAAAGTAGAGCAAGGCTTCCAAACACTGTGAAAGGCATCGCCTTGGAATAAGAATTCTGTAAAGAAAATGGAGAGAATTATTTTAAACGATGGTATTTCTAAGGAACATGTTTAGATAACTTTTAAGTGACACCCTGAAATAATTAAACTGTCAATGAGGTGTAAATTAAAGCCTTTTAGGAATTGTTGACTCAAAATAAGAACATATTACACACACCAAATTATCTTCTACAGTAGTCCCTTTGACAGCATATGATAGCGATCTTTCTTCTTGGCTGATAATACATATTTTGAACCTTTCTGTACCTGAACTAGAAAATTTCTGAATAACAATAATGCCCCTTTGGCCCTATGGTTA